CACAGTGACCCGGTACAAGGTTTCCGAGGAGTGAGTGGCTGTCGAACTTAAACCCCCAACCCTGCAGTTCAAATCGCCTTTACAGGCCAGCCCATTAACTCACAGCACCACGCCATGACTGAAAATACAAATTTCTAAAATGTATAATGAAATAAGCTATATTCAAAACAAAAGTAACACACATATTCAAAAGCTATCATTTCCTGATGAAGTTCACTCCATTTTACAGTGATCTGTGCTCTTGAGCTTACCTGGAAACCCCTGGGTAGTGTAAACTGTTCATGTGCCAATTGAGAGGTTGGAGGTTCAAATCCAGCTACAGGCATCTAGTTGTGTACTTCAGAGTCCTGGTGTGGTGCTGTGGGCTAATGCGTCAGACTTCAAAGCTATTTGAAGTGCAAGGTCGGTAGTTCAAGCTCACCAGCTGCTCCTCGGAAACCCTATACAGGGTCGCTATGGGTCAGAATCGACTCTACGGCACTTAACAACAACAACAACAAAGTCCTGGTGTGGTGCTGTGGGTTAACGCTCTGGATTGCAAGGTCGGTGGTTCAAACTCACCATCTGCTCCTTTGAAACCCTATACAAGAGTTGAAACTGACTTGAAGGCACTTAACAACAAAGTCCTATGGTGTGTCACTAGGGATTAAAGCGCTGAACCATAAAGTCGGCGGTTCAAACTCACCATCAATTCCTTGAACTCTGGGCATGGTCGCTATGAGTTGGAACTAACTCAACAGCACTTAACAATAACAACAACAAAAACACAGTTCTACTTGGATACATGAAGGTCACCTTGAATTGGAATAAACTTTATGGTAACTAACAAGGCTGCCATAGCCAATTACCACAAACTTGGTGGCTACAGACCACAGAAACGTACTCTCTCGTAGTTCTAAGGCTACGTGTCTGAAATCCCAGGTGTCATCACGACAGTCTTCCCACTGGATAATCTAGGGGTGAATATTTCCTTGCCTCTTTTCGGGTTCTGGTGAGACCCCAGGCAACCCTTGACTTGTGGTACCAACCAGCAATCTCTACCTCTGCTGTTACATGGCCTTCTCCACATCCTTTCCTGTCTCTTAGACACTCTCATTGGATTTAGTACCTAATCAAGTTTGCTTTCATCTAAAGCCTTACCTTGGTTACCTCTATGTTGTTGTTGTTAAATGTCATCAAGTTGGAGCCGACCAACAGCGACCCTGTATAGGGTTTCTGAGAAGCAGCTGTTGAGCTTGAGCCACCAACCTTGAAGATCAAACTGACTTTGCAGTCCAGTACATTAACCCACAGCGCCACACCATATATTTGATGGCATGAATTTGGGGACAGATTTTGGAGTCCTGGTGTGGAGCTGTAGGATAAGCATTGGACTGGTAACTACAAGTTCGGTGGTTCAAACCCACCAACTGCTCTTGGAAACCCTCTACAGGGTCACTATGAGTTGGAACCGACTTGACGGCACTTAACAACAACAACAACGTTCAACTTGTGGAGTTCCTGGGTAGCGTAGATGGTTAAGCACTCTACAGCTAGATGAAAGTTTGACAGTTTGAATCCACCCAGAGGTGCCTAGTAATCCGCTTCTAAAAGGTCCCATCCTTGAAAATTCCTCCGGGGGAAGTTCTTGGGTTCTTCAAGTACCGGAATTGACTTCCTGGCAACCAATCAACCGACCACGTGGCTACCACATCCATCATAGCGTTCACATGTCAAGAGCAAAGGGGTGTGAACTGTATGCTTCCATCTTGGCTTCCACATGAGGTGCCTTGTGTCCTTACCACATGGGGACACCTCGCCCTCCACACCACAGAGCCTCTGCTCTGGTGGTTCCCACAACAGAAACGCCTCCTCTCCTTGATTACAAGGTGAAGCCTTCTTCATCTCTGAACATCTGTCACCAATGCCAGCTCCTTTATGGCCCTCTCTCAAATCTCAAGGGTGATTCCCTCCCTCCGTCACTCACACAAGCCTTTGTTGAGGCCCAGTATCCAACGGGGCCCTGTAATTACAAAGATAACATGCCTCCCTCTGCCTTTGAGTCTGGGTGAGGAGGCAGACATATAAATATAACATGTTGGAAAGATTCATTGCTCTTCTTCTTATCTTTTTGCCTAATTAGAAAAATAATGCATATGTATTACAAAACTTGACAAAAACATAAAATAAGTCCCTCAGATATAATTATTACTAATATTGGTATAGGAAACTGTTGTTGTTAAGTGCTGCTGAGTTCATTCTGACACATAGCGACTTTGTATAGTTTACAAGGCTGTACCATCTTTGCTGGAGCAGAAAGCCTCATCTTTCTCCTGTGGAACAGCTGGTAGACTAGAATTGATACCTGGTGGTTAGCAGTCCAGTGCTTATCCTACAGAGCCATTGCATTCCATAAAAGTTTTTGTTGTTGTTAAGTACTGTAGAGTTGGTTCCAACTCAGCGACCTTGTATAGGGTTTCCAAGGAGCAGCTGGTGAGTTTGAACTGCTGACCTTGTGGTTCAAACGACCCAGCAGTCCAGTGTGCTAGCCCACAGTGCTACACCAGAACTCCTCTAGTATATATTAATAATATTTAACAGAATGGGGCTATTGTTCACACTGCTGAGCTTAATTTATTTTGGGCATCTTTCACACAGTTGCCACTCAGCTTTTAATAGCTGCACCATATTCAAATATGTGGGTACATCACAACATCACAATGGGCTCAATTCCTTGAAAATGAAAGATTTGGTTGTTTCCAATCTCCCCTCCCCAATTTTGTTTTATCACCAACAGTGCCGTATGCAAATTCTTGTCCCTATGTCCGCATGCATTTATGTGAGTGCCTTTTAAGGTTAAAACCCTAGAAGTGAAATTCTAGAGGTGTAGGCTAGATTTGTACTGCTAACAGCAAGGTTGCTAGTTCAAACCCATCAGCCGCTCCAAGGGTGAAAGATGCTCCCAGCTGCTCCCATAAAGATGTAGTCTCAGAAATCCTATATAAGGTGGCTAAGGGTTTGAAGCTACTTGGTGGCAGTGGGCTAAGTTAAGTTTTTTTTTTGTTTAGTTCCCAAATGTCATGAGTCCTGGTGTCAGAGTTGTTAAGCACTTGACTGCTAATCAAAAGGTAGGTGGTTCCAACCCACCAGTCATGCCACTGGAGGAAGATGTGGCAGTCTGCTTCTGCAAAGATGGCGGCCTTGGAAACGTGGGGAAGTTCTCCTCTGTCCTGTAGGCATACTATGCGTTAGAATTGCCCCATTAGCCAGTGGGTTTTGGTACGGAAGTCCCAAAATTGCTCTCCAAAAAGGCTGAGTCCATTTACAGCTGTTCCGGACCCCCTTAGCTCAGGTTATGAGGGAATGCAGCTAAGGAGGTAACTCTTTAATTTGAGTCTTAGAGAGAAAGAGCAGAGCTTTCCGGGAAGAGGCATTTGGGTGGGACACTCGTGGCTGAAGCAGTTCTCGGGCCACCTGGGAAAAGATGTGGTGACAGCATTTGAAGAAATGAACCGCACAGGGGTGGGGGTGGGTGAGACAGGAGCAGTGAGCAGAGCCAGACTTTAGGGGTCTCCAACGTTAAGACAAGATGCTCCCCAAGACTTCTTATCATACGGGTCACACTACACTACAGAACTTGTCTTCCTCATAGGAGTGAAAACAATGTCCTCCTATCCTCAGGGTCCCAACCCTTGGACCTTTCCCACACAGGATGAGCGAGCTGCATGTGTTAACTCTTCAGTGACTGGAGCCCTTCGAGGACTCAACACCACCTTGTCCTCTTCTTTCTACCCTCCCCCTAAGACTTGGCCAAGAGCTTGCTTTCTCCACCAGATGGTGTGGCCTAGGCTCTGTTCTCCTTCACTGTTGGGATGGAGTTTGTATCTCCAGAGCGGAATGTGGTCCTGGCATTGCTGAAGTTTGTAGAACGAGTGTTCCATCACCAAGGAAGATCCAAACTGCTTACCAAGTTGAACATGTGGCACTAATATTCAAGGATCAATGAGTGCTCGGACTGCACTGGGGTTCCAATGAAAGGTACTTGGGGTCCGCCATGACACCCCATTTCTGTACTGCTAGAAAGATAATGGGGTCTGTCTCTAAGCAGCATCAAAGCAGTAAGAGGAGATGCCTGAGCAAACTGGGATGTGTCGCCAACAAAACTCCACAGGGGTCTGGTTTCTGCCTGAATGGTGGGATCCCCATTAGTCCACACTGTGTAAGGAGCGCCCACTGAGTGCCTGACACTTACTAAACAACTGATATACAAGAACTCACTTTCTTCTCTATCATCGTCTCCATTTTACAGATGAGAATACTGAGGCATGGAGAGGTGACACAGCAACTTGACCTCTACTGCTCTGGTGGGCTAGGGGGTTTGGAGGCCATTCCCATCCCTCCCTTTGCAAGTGTGCTCTGTGGAAGTGAGGCGTGCCCAGGAAGAGAGAAGCATTCAGGAATGTTTAATGACAGTGTGAGAATGAATGAATAGAAGAACCCAAAAGGGCTCTGGGACAATGGGCTGGAGAATCCTTCCCAACTACCCATCACTGCCATGGAGCAAAGACATGCAGAGCAAGCCGCCACGGACACCCATCCAGCCCTGTTACCCACTTGGTTACAACATGGGTTTGAGGTGTAGAAGCGAAGGTAGGTGATCAAGCAACTCAACTGTAGTTTTGAATAGAAAGGAATTCTTTAGGAAGATCTGCATAAAGTGTCCCAGTGGGTAAAGCATTGTGTCACTAACCAAAATGTCAGCGGTTTAAACCCACCAGCCTCTCTGCAGAAAAACAAGACTGTTGCCATCTGATTTTTTTGTTTGTTTGTTTTTCATCACTAGATCACACAGACACCATTCCCTCATTTCCTTGCAATTCTGCACACTACCCAGTCCCGGCTGCTGCTGTGCCCCACATGCCATAGATGAGTCAATGAGACAGTCCACTGAGGAGAGGACTTCTGTTGACCAGGATGACAGCATGAGGAATTGCCCTGCACGGGAGCCACAAGGCACCTACCTTGGCTTCAAAGAAGTCCTTGGCACCCTTGACACCCTCGAGAGCAACATCGATCTCGGAGAGTTTTGCCAGTGCCATCAGCCCACTATCTTCCTGAAGTTCCCCGGCTGCAGCCTTGTGGAAAATGAGCAGGAACTGTACAGAGCAGGGGAGGAAACAGGCAGAGGCGGTTAGAGTCAGAAATCTACAAGACTCCCCTCCAGCCTGAGCTCAAGTCACGGATGCCAAACTTATAAAAACAAGTGCTACGACTTACTTCTCTGCCTCTAATTGTCAAAGGGCATCCTGGTGTGGCTCTGTAGGATAAGCACTTGGTCACAGGGTTAGTTTGAGCTCCAAGGTTGGTAGTTCAAACTCACCAGCTGTTCCTCAGAAACCCTACACAGGGCCGCTATGGGTCAGAACTTTAACAACAACAATTGTCAAAAATGAAAACGTGCAGGAAATGAGTACCCTCATACCTAGTTGGCTGGAGTATGCATGGATTCAAACTTTTCAGAACATTTTAGAAGTATTTGTTGTTCTCAGCCGCCATTGAGTTGGCTCCTAACCCAAGGTGACCTCACCTTGGGATGGAGCAATGCCCAGTCCCATGCCATCCCCAAGATTGATGCGGGTTGGACTCTGACCTATAGGGGTTCCCTTGGCTAGTTTGCAGAATGAGACCACCAGAACTTTCTCCTCCTGGCCCATCTTTGTCTGGAAACTCCACTGAAACCAGTTCAGCATCATAGCAACATGCAAGTTTCCACTGACAGATGGACGGTGCCTGTGTATGGGGTGCGCTGGAGAGGAATTGAACCCAGGTCTCCAGCATGCAAGGCAGGAATTCTGCTAATGAGCCACCAATGTTGCCTTTGGCGACATTAACCAAAAATACAATGCAAGTGCCCTTCCAACTGTTAATCCTGGGGATCCATCTGTAGAAGCTTCCGCATGATAATGTAAGGGCTTTATTATGGAATCTCAGACGTTTTAAATACATTACTCTGTCATTTGAATTTTATCTAGAAAACCTTCCTCACCTCCAAGCTTTACATAAACAATTGTCATATGTTTTTGTCTAGTATTTTTATGGCTTTCAAAAAAACCACACATGTAAATCTTTAATCTCTAAAATCTAATCTGATCTATTCTGTGAAGTTAATCTTTAACCTTATTTTCTTCCAAATGGTTAGTTAGGAATCCTCACATCACTTATTAAATAATCCATCCTGTTCCTCCAGATTCAAAATGTGACCTGAATGATTTAATCTTGGACGCCACCTTGTACTGAGGCCTCCAAAGAATGAAGGTTTAAATAAATAAACAAGCCAAACTTGAAAGGCAGCACCCTCATTTTCTCTCACTTTCCCCCAAGGTCATATTCTGGTTGGTTTGTTTTTTAGCTGTCGTGTTTAGATGTTTTACAAATGTAGTTGTCAAAGTTATCCCAACTTCTACAATCGGTTTTTCCCGTTTAGAAATATACAGTGATGTACCAGCGTGGTTCAAAAAGTTCATGAAAAAATCTTTAGAGTCCTTTTTACCATGAACTTTATGAAGCCCCTTTGTATTCCATGTTATCAAAGAAAGAGGGCTTCGAGTGAGCCAAAATGGCGGCAGACTGGGCAGTATTCCGTTCCATGGTGCACAAAGTCACCTTGACTCACGTCACATGTCAGGGGCTGATTCAATAGCAGCTAGCAAGAACAAGGAAAAATGATGTCTAAGGTACGTCTTGCCTGCCCACAGGAATATAAGACTGTTTTTTCCCATGACCATCTCCCCTAAAATATGATCCTTCCCCATAGGGAAAAGAAAATCATCTAAAGTGGGGTCAGAGGTTAAACGACTTCAACAGGCTTTCCTCAAATTCCAACTTGGTTATCTTTTACTGCCAAGACTTCTAATTCCCAGAGGGATGCATGTTTCATTTAAATGAAAACCTCCATTTAACCATAACACAAAGAACCAAAAATGCTTTACAAATAAACCTGTCTTTGTCTTCCTGGCTTGAGGGGGTTCTAAGTCCACTGCGGAACATTGCCAAGTATAAATCAAAGGGTAAAGGAAGATGCTCAAACTTTAATAGCTTTATTGAAGCTGATAACGTTGTCTCTGCTTGACAAAAATCCCTCATTCATGCACTTGCAGCTTCCAACTCTCTCACTAGAGGCCAGCATAGGCTCAGCTGCTCTGGTTGGCTACAGACGGTTGGAGCCAGGATCTGGCCTTTCCCTGACTGTCCTGGTCAAATTCTCACGGAAGAGATTTCAGCAACAAAGATTTGATGCTGCAGTAAGCCCTGCATGGAGAAAGGGTACGTCATCAAGTCCCCTGTCCATCCTTCAAGACATTTCATTTATAGAAGGTTCCAACCTCATCTACCAGGCAAAGACAGAACAAGTCGCCCACCCCACACCAGCCAATTCAGCTTTCTCACACCAAATGCAGAGATGACCATGTTCATATTCACAGAAGAGCTCTGTATACTAGAAAAACAAATCCAAAGTCTATTCCCTAAAGTGGTTCTCTCTAAATCCTTTGATCTGATGTGGACCCAGATAGCAGGCAAGCAAGCTACGCGCTCAGCAGATCACGACCTGCATTGAGTGGTGCTGCTAACCTCAAGGTCAGTAGTTCGAAACTACCAGCCGTTCTGAGGAAGATAAGGCTTTCTGCTCCTGTAAAGATTTACAGATGTAGAAAGTTTTTGCAGGGTCGCTATGAATTGGAACCAACTCCACAGCATACCACCAACCCTACTATAACCTTCGGATCCCTTCCCGCCACCCAGATCAAGGGGAAAAAACCCAAAAAAATCCAGCTCCATCTAAAATGGCCAGCCTCCCATAAAGCTGGCCAGGTATTTCCACTAAATGTTCACTACCCATTACTGCAGGACAGTTTCTCCAATGGCCCAGCCATTCGGTCTTGTTTGTCTTTCTATTTATAGTCTACAAAGACTGGTATGTTGTGGAAAAATTGGAAACTGTCCTAGCTGTGACTAGGGGGATGGGGGGGACAGGGCTGGGGAGGGAAGGAAAAACAGAAAACAAAGAGACCAAGAAAGAACCAACAAAGCCAAAGTGTTGTCTCAGTGACAAACCAGTAAACGCTACTGTTGATTTTAGGAAATTTTTAACTTCGTGGCTCCGGCTAGTTATGCAAACTTCTCTGATTAGTTAGAATTCTTTGTTTGCCAGTGACAGAAGTAGCTAAAGGAAAAAGGAGATATTTATTATTTATTATATATTTAGATCTTTATTATAGGGCAGGAGGAAGACCAGAGCTGGAGTGACCACACTTTCGGGGATTGGAGGCCATACTGCCGCTCATCTCTGGTTCATCCCATTGAATTCCTCTTTCAGCACGCCATAGTATTTTAGTCCCAACATGCTGTTGGTTCAGTCTGGCCAGGAGTACCTGCCAGTACCGTCAGAACTGCCGGGGACCCACCCTGGGAAAGGAAGGGTGGAAAGAGAGAATGGGACCTCTAGTTCCCAGAATAGAAAGAGCACCTGGGACCCACTTTTAGATTATTAAAGCCAGACAACGAACTATCCGTGCTCGCAGCCTTTTTTCAAAATGTCAATACACACACATACCTATTGTGGCACAGTGGTTAAAGTGCTCTTTCCACCACGTGAACACAGCATCAGGCCTCTAGCACTTACAACCTGGGAGGAAGCCAGCACAGCAAGGTAATCAAAGGAGGAGTTTGGGCAGTGAAGTCAATGGCAAATCTTATACCTCTGGGTGCTCAGCTAGACATGGAAGAACACAACAGGGCTCTGAATCCACCAAGGATCTAATGCAAACACCACTGAAGCATCAGAAAAGGGGCTGGGAAGCCAGGATAAGAATGCTTTGGAGTTACCCAAGTCTCTGATGTCCATCATTACTGAGAAATGACCAAAATGCTAACCAAACATCTTAGAATTGGGGAGAGTGTCTCTGATAGCCCCTGAACAAATCAGAGAGTCAGCTCAGTGGGTGATTTGCACAGCCCTCCAAATACCCTCTTAATTTCTGTTCCTCAGAGGCTACAACTTGGCCACAAAACCTCTTTCCCTAACGTTCTCTCCAAAGCTTCCTTAAGGCCAAAGCTTGTACCTTCTGCACTGTGGGGGTGGCATGAGGCCAGAGAGCTGGCACCTGGTCTCGGGTCGATGCCTGGCGATGATGCCCAACACAGGATTCTGTGATCTGCTATCTGCTTATCTCTTGATTCAGGAAAGAAAGAAATGGGATGCTCTGTAGAAGAGATTTGTGGGCAACAGGTCAAGAGTGAGGGACAAACTCAGTTTCATCCCAGGTGGGGAAGGGACTCATGGCTGTTGGTTTAACTGCAGAGACTCCCAGGAAAAGCATATATGGTCCCATTTAGCTTGGTTGGAGGAGCCCTGGTAGCGTAGAGCGTTATGAATTGGACTGCTAAACGAAATGTCAGTAGTTCAAATCTACCAGCTGCTCTGGGGAAGAAAGATGAGGCGTTCTGCTTCTGGAAAGATTTATAGCCTTGGAAATCCCATGCAGGGTTGCTATGAGTTGGAAGTGACTCGAAAGTACGCAATCACCAGCTTGGATGAAGACTTGAGTTTAGCTAAAGGTCTCACCATCAAAACCAGACAGCAGCGCTCCACCTAGAACAATCTAGGTAAACAAAAGGAAGTAACAACAGCCCTCGCTGCTCTCGGGATCGGTTCCCGAGGGTTCCCAATGAGACAGGACCGTGAACAAGACGGGGCACCAACGTTATTACAATTACAAATCATACCGTCACAGCTGGAGGCCTTGTAATAAAACTCATACAAGGACACTCTCTTCCTTGCGGGGCTGCAACGTTGTCAGGAAAGAAAGCAGATGACCTCCATGCCCCCCACACACAGATACCAAACCCCACCCCCCCGACCAGAAATGGCTTTATCACCGAGGTCCTCAGCCGTTTGGGGGTTGGCTGTGGATGTTCTGTGAACTCTTTGAACACACACTGAAATGTGCCTACAATTTCAGGGAATCAAAGACCAATGAGGCCCATGTCTGGACTGTTCCGGAAGAGTGGATTCATGAGCATGGATTAAAACCTCTTGCGTTACTGCTTTTTTTAAAAAATACTATTTTAAAAAGCTTATTATAAAGTTTTAATATATAAAAGAATATAAAATGATAAAACCACCAAACATTGTACCTATAAACACCCTGGTGTGGGGCTGTGGATTAATGCACCAGACTGCAAAGCCATTTGAACTATAAGGTTGGTGGTTCAAGCTCACCAGTTGCTCCTTGGAAACCCTATACAGGGTCACTATGGATCGGAACCGACTCGACGGCACTTAGCAACAACAACAAGGAATTGTAAGTAAGGGTTTTTCCGGATTCCTCTGGTGTACAGTTTACTCCAATGGGTCATTGTGGTTAGTGAGTTGTGTAATGTCTCTTCTAGCCACAGTCTGTAACTCCCAACAAATGACATCTCTGCTCTGCTGGATCTGGGTAAGAGAAAGTGGGACAAGACACTGATAGGAAGACATGATTCAGTTGTGGAGGTAAGCACAGTTCACTGTAATTGTGGAAACTTGAAATGAGTCCTCTTAGACGCAGGAGTGGGGATTTTGGTACCATGAAAGAAGAAGAGTCAGCTGTGGAATGCATCCTTGGGGTGCACTGAATCTCCTCAACCCAGTGACAGAAAGCTGTGACCCCAGGGGAGGGGCAAAGTAGCAGCGGAACCAAGGACCAGAGCCCATGACAGAGCAATGGCAGTAAGGCTGAGTGCTTTGGGGCAGGAAGCTTGCTTGTAGAGTGGGGAGCCACCAGGCACTTAAGTGGGGAGCTACATTTGCTGCCACGTGGAGCTAGAGTTGAGGGCCTTCAGGCTGAGGTTAAAGGTGCAGTTGTGTGTCTTGTGGATAGGTCTCAGCTACTGACCGGAACAATGCCCTGAGCAGTTCTGACCTTGAATTGTAACCGGTTAACTTCCCTAATAAACCCGTAGCTGGGAGTATGGTGCCTTGAGTTCTGTGTGGCTACCACGGAGAGTTATCAAACCCACTAGTGAAACAGAGAGTGTTGTGGAAGGAATGGCTGCTTGGCTGCTGGTCCTTTTGCATTTCTGCTCTTCATACTGGTTTCCAATCTGCTTACTGGCCATTTCCCCACAACAGTACTATTAGCCACTATAAAGCAGAACCGTAGGCTGAATACCCAAACGGCAGTCTAGAACGGTTAGGCCCATGTACGCCCTGTGGAGCTGCAAATCTGCATTCTCTTGGGGGCAAAGGGCTCCGCACCAGCAGCACACAGGTACCTCACGGAGGTTGAGCTTGCCATCAAAGTCCTCGTCCACCTCCTTGATCATGCTCTTCAGGCCCAGGTGGGTCTGGGGGGCTCCCAGTTTCTCCATCATCAGCTTCAACTCCATCAGGTCAATGTAGCCATCTCGCCCTGCATCGTACCTGCAGGGTTAGAGGAAAAGACACTTGCTATTCTCCCAGACATGGCTCCTTTGGGTTCCTGGACTGAAACAAGACTCACATGCCTCCTGCTTTGTAACATTCCCAGGCACTCCTCAGCAGAGGACTCTACATTAGGATTGCTGCCATTCCAAGTAGATCTGGTACCACACCTGTGTTCTTCATGACTTTGGTCTCCTCAACTTAACCCCAAGTTTCTGGAGGATGGAAACTATCCTTGGTTCTCGTCATGTCCCCCAGTTTGGGTCAACAAACACTGAGTCCATCCTGAAGCAGGACCCCCCGCAGAGTACAGGAACACCCCCCCATATGCTCAAACCACACGTAAGGGACTGAACTGCCAGCCCCAGGAGCCTTCTCTTGGTCACCATCCTGGTGAATTGGCCACCACCTCCATTTCCACCGACCCCTCATCGATCACTCCTCCTCCCTTCCTCTCTGGTTCCCTGCATCTCCAGGAGCTTCACGGTGGATCAGGCCCCACGCTCGGCTTTTATACTCCAGGCTGGCCTTCACTTTAGTGCCTGTGACTGCCACAGGGCTTTCAGCCTCACTCACTCACAGAGAGGACACCTGTGCTGGTTGGGTCTCAGGCACTGGAGACCCCTGCTGGACACAAAGCAAGCTCATGGGGGCGGGGAGAGGTGGATAGGCCCTCCCTAGCAGCTAGGCAAGCCCCACTGAGTCTTCTCCTCCTTCACTTTGGCCTTTGCTTCCTCCCTGCCACTGCTCCTCTCCTCAGGACAGGGGACTGTCCTCCCTCCAGGAGGCCCAGCCTACTGGCCACTTACAGAAGACTCCTTGCTGCGTAGCACTAGAAGAGCTTGTTTGAAAAAAACAGCAACCAAGCTTCCTCTTCCTCCTCTTCCCAAACCACAAAATCTCACCAATAATAGGAACCACCAACACCACCCAAGAACTGTGGCCTTGGGACGAAGAGATCTGGACTAGCATGCACTGGTGGTATTTAAGGCCCGGGGTCAGGAAGCGCTGCTCAGTGAGCAGACTCCTTTCCTCCCACCCAGAGTGCCTCCCCCAGAGCACAGGGAGGCCCCTACAGCCTCCTCAAATCTCCAAAAGTACCCACTGATGGTCAGCATCTGCCACCTCCCTCTCTGTGGATTCTGTGAACGCCCCACTAGACACCTGAGATCTCCGGTCCTGGGAGCTCTGGGGCAGGTCAGGCAGGATTCCAGGACCGGAAAGCAGCAGGGTGCTTCATGGTTCTAGGAGGTGAGCAGCATACGAGAACTGAGACAGATAAGGGAGGACCCAGTATCCTTAGAGGACTGTTTGTGGACATCTAACAAAGGAAGCAATGATTTCCATGGTCCACTAAAAATGACCCAGCTCCCTCTACCACAGACCACTGCGTCTCATCCCCCAGGCCCACAGAACGAGAATAGGACAGCTATGAGCGCTGACTTAGTGAGTTCTTACTATTAAGAACTCAGTGAGTTGTGTACTATTAAGATTTTCATCCTCTCAAAAGAGGAAGACACCCCAGTGAGATGCAACGAGACAGCAGCAGCCACAAAAGGGCTCAAACACAACAACTATGCAGTGTTTCCTTCGGTCATGCATCAGGGTCACTATGAGTCAAGAAGCAACTTGATGGCACCTAACAAAAACAACAACTTTACAGACAGAGAAAATGAAGCTCACAGACTTGGTAACTTGGACAAGAGCTCCAAGAAAGGAAGCGATTAGAGCTAGGATTGACTCTAGATCCTGTAATTTCAGAACCTTGAACCAATCATTATGTTTTCTTGCCTTAAGACCAACAAATACCATAAAAATAACCCATTTACTTTAAAAAAAACCAAAACTTTTTGAGTTAATTAATACTTTTTGTCATTTATATGGAGTCCTGGTGTGGTGGTGCAGTCATTTGAACCACAATGTTGATGGTTCAAGCTCACCAGCCGCTCCCTGGAAACCCTATACATGGTCGCTAAGGGTCAAAACTGACTCGATGGCACTGAGCAACAACAACATAATCTACATACTATAAAATTTACACCTTTTTTAAATGTACAATCCAGTGTTTTTAGTATGCCACGACGTTCTGCAACCATCATTCACTGACCCCAGGACATTTTCATTGCCTCAAAAAGAAAAAGTCACTCCCCAATGCTAATTGCTGGCAATCACAAACCAAGATGGAGTTGCCTATTCTGGACACTTTACAGCAATGGAATCTTACAATATGGGGTCAGACGCAAAAGGACAAATGCCATATGGCTGCAGTATCTGGAATATCTAGACTACACAAAGTCAGAGAGACAGAAAAGTGTACCAGAGGTTACCAGGGTGCTGGGGAGGTAGGGAATGATTGATCGTGGGTACAGCGTGATAAAGATAGTGGTGATGGTTGTACACAAGGCCTCAGGGTACACGGGTTCAGTGCTAACCAAAAGGCCTGCGGTTCAAACCCATCAGCTGCTCCGAGAGAGAAAGAAGAAGCTGTCTGCTTCTGTACACATTTACAGCCTAGGTAGCCCTAGGGGGCAGTTCTACTCTGTCCTACAGGTCACTGTGACTCGAATCGGCTTGATTCAATTCTGACTCAAATACTTGGTAACGGGCATCTTCACACAGAAGAAATCCTGGTGGCGCAGTGGTTAAACGCTCAGCTACCAACCAGTTAGAACTTCATGAAGCTGCTCCACGGAAGAAAGACGTGACGTTCTGCTTGTGTAAAGATGAGATTGTTGTTGTTAGGTGACGTCGAGTCGGTTCCAACCCAGAGGGATCCTGTATAGGGTTTCCAAGGAGCAGCTGGTGAGCTTGAACTGCCAACCTTGCTGTTCAAACCAACATTAACCCACAGCGCCACATCAGCCTTGGAAACCTATGGGAGCAGTTCTACTCTGTCCTATAGGGGGCGCTAAGAGTCAGAATCAACTTGACGGCAAGAAGTTTGGTTTAGTTTTGGATGATTGTATGATACTGTGAATGTACTTAATGCCATTGAATTGTAAACTTCAGAATGTTTAACGTTGTACATTTTTAGGTTATACATATTTTACCACAATGAAAAATCACAAGAGAAAGCTCTCACAGATGAAATCAGGGTAGAAAGAACAAAAAGGCATGAATACTTACTGAAAAAGAGCACACTTCTCCCACCTGGAGGCAGTCAGCTAACTAAAAGCCTGTTAGTTGGAGGCACCCAAGGTAGTGAGTTGGGATGTAAGCAAGTATGTGGGTTTAAGGACTGAGGGATATATGGCCAAGGGAAGCAGAGGGCTGTCTTCAGATGTTGCTTTTAAACTTACTGGAGTCCTGGTGTGATGCTGTAGGATAAGCACTGGACTGTTAACCAGCAGGTCAGTGGTCCAAACCCTTGGGAACCCTATACAGGATTGTTAGGACTTGGAACTGACTTGAAGGCACTTAACAACAAACAAACCAACACCTGTCGTGCTGGAATCCATTCTGGCTCATAGCCACCCCATGAGCTTACAGAGTAGAACCGCTACAAAGGGTTTTCTAGACTGCCATCTTAACAGAGAGATTGACAAGCCTTTCTTCCACAGTGCCACTGAGTGGGTTTGAACGGTCAATGTTTAGGTTCGCAGCTGAGCAACAAACCATTTTTGCCACCCAGGGACCCTTCTAAACTTCTCCAGGGCCCCAGAGGGCTGTGTGTGGAAGTGGGCTGTGCATGCTCACTGCACATGGGCTGTGGACTTGCATTAAAACCCAAGGAAGGGTTTTCTGGCAAAAACAACCTAGAAGAATAGAAAAAGTAAAGAGAGCTCTTGCAAACAGGCGAGAGGGAAGGTCTCTGTTACATGAGTCCCTAGTCAAAGGAAACCGGTTTCTTTAGTGTGGAACTTTCCAGAGCCTTCCATATGGTAATTTGTCTGAAATGTACAAGAGGGAAACAGAGCACACAATCGTCCGCATTGTTCCTAGTTTTCCCATTGGTGAAGGTGCATCTGAGCATTCTAGTGTTCCAAGAAAACACTGTGATTTCTCTGGGTAATTGAACATTAGAAGGGGTAGGCAACTCGAAGACCTCTACCGAAGGCCACACCCAGTCCATCTAGGGCTGTCTGTCTGGCCTCACAGCAAGTCTGCGGGACAAAGTAGAACTGTCCCACAGGTTTCCAAGGCTGTAAATCTTTACGGAAGCAGACTGCTTTCCTGGAGGAGCAGCTGGTGACCTTTGGGTTAGCAGCTGACTGCTGTAACCACGGTATCACCCAGGTTCCTAATCACCACCAAGACCCCTTATGGAGGTAATGCATGTTTGGACAAAGTTTGCAGAAAAGATGAAACATTGAAGGCTGAGCCAGGGTATTCTGCTGGGAGTTGTCAAGGTTTGGCTTAGCCAAGAAGGGGAGGAAGGGAAGTAAAGGGCGTGAGGAAGAGCTAGTAAAGTTCAAGTCTAAAGCAAGAAGCCTGGGGAGAGGAAGGCCCCAGTAACAGAAGATGAACCACAAGGAGATATCACCCCACACCCACTAGAATGTCTGTTATCAGAAAAACAGGAAGTAATAGATATTGGCAAAGATGTGGGCATATAAAATGGTATTGCTGCTGAGGATCGTTTGACAGTTGATACAAAAGTTAAAGAGAAATATCTTGTCGTTGTTAAATGCTGCCGAGTTGGTTCTGACTCATAGGAATCCTGTATAGGGTTCCCAAGGAGTGGCTGGTAGGTTTGATTCCCTGACCTTTGGTTAACAGCCCAGTGTTTATCCTACAGCACCACACCAGGACTCCCTGAATTACCTTTTGTTAACGGCCATCAAGTGGGTTCCCACTCATAGTGACCCTGTATTGGGTTTCTCAGGACCTTGCAGTTCAAACTGACCCTGAGGTCCCAGTGCATTACCCTGCAGGACCACACCACGACTCTTAACAACTTCCATGTCAGTTATAAACCTAAACAAGTCTATGAGCATATGCTTGATAGCAGCATTGTTAACAATTGTCAAAGGTGGAAGAAACTTGTAGAGTGTCCTTCA